GGATGTGACCTATGCCCAGCTGAACCACTCGACCTTCAGACGGGAGATTGCACCTCCTGCCCCCCAGTCAGGGGAGCCCCCAGAAGAGCCCAGCGTGTATGCTGCTCTCGCCGTCCGCTAGCCCAGGAAGGACCCAGACCCCACGCTCCAGGGAGGAAGACTGCACGGACCCCGGAAGGCACAGGAGCTGCCTGCCCGCAGTGGACACCACCTAACGACCATCAGACAGCCTGGACTCCCAACACAGACCACCAGGAGCCCCTGGGACCCTTTGGCAGTCACCTGATTCTACCCTCAAAGATAACAAATATCCTTACATTTTAGAAAAAAAGCAACAGACTTCTCAATTACCAATGATTTTGAAAAAGAATAGCAAATGATTCCAAATGAAGGTAGAAGCAGGGAAATAACAATGACAAGAGTAGCTACTAATGAGGACAAAGGAAAAGTAGAGAAAAATCAATAAACCCCAAAACTTCAATCCTGAAAACATTAATCACACGTATAAACCCTAGGCTCAATGACCAAGGGAAAAAGAGAGAAGGCATGCTTTACCATTATCATGACACTACGGCAGATCCTACAGACTTTACATAAATAAAGAATTTCATGAACAATTTATGCCATTATATTAGAAAATGTAGATGAAATGGACAAAAATTCTCTAAAATATAATTTACCAAAATGATGAACATTAGGATAAATAAGAAATCTGGATTGTTGTATATACTAAATATGTGGAGTCTGTGATTTAAAATTTTCCCAAAAAGTGAACTCTTAGTCCGGAAAGCTTCACTGGTGAATGCTTCTGAACACGTATGCACTTATGAAATCACACACACACACACACACACACCAAACTTACACAAGCTTCTGCAGAGAATAGGGAAGGAAAGGAATACTCCCCGCAACACCTTTTGTCGGGCCAGAAAAAAATTGAGACCAAAACCTGACAAAGAAACTACAAAATGGGAAAATCACAGGAAGCTGTCTTTTATCAGCATTTACAAAGAATTCTGTCTTTTATTTTCCTAAACAAAATATTGACAAACGAGATTCATTGCTATATAGAATGAGTACTATAGCATGAACTTGCAGGTATTTTTTTAAGGAATGCATGGGTGGTTTCACCCTCAGAAATCAATCACTACAATCCAAACATTAAAAGAAGAAATCTGAAAAATCATCATATCGACAGATGCAAAGCTTTTGATAAAATACATCACCAGTTTATAACGAAAAAAACTCAGGAATAAAAGGGAATTTCCTATTATTTGTAAAAGCATCTTTTAAAATCTACAACAGAAATCATTTTTAAAGGTAAAAACGTGCAATCCTTCTGCCTGCAATTGCGAGTGAGCCAGGAACGTTCACTATTACCCTTCTATTCGGCAGGCCTGGAAGAACCAACCAATTAAATAAAGAAAAAAAAAGTGATAGGCACTGAGGGATGGAATAAACCTGTATTGCTCAAGATTACAAAACTGTGTGAGTGGAAAATCCAAAATAGAATAAGGGCCTATTATTCGAATTTGAAAAGAATTTATCTAACGTCACTGGGTACATCATCACAATATATAAAAGTCAGTTGCATTTCAGACTTCCAGTTTTGGAGCAGGAGAAAATAGAAGTATGAATCCCTAACCCCCCACAAAGCACAGTAAGACTCCTGGACTTTACATGCACAACAAACATAAGAATACAGGCATACCTCCATTTATTGTACTCCCCGGATATTGCAGGGATGTTTTTGTTTTTGTTTTTACAGATTGAAGGTTTGTGGCACCCCACATCAAGCAAGCCCATCAGTGCCCTTTTCCCAACAGCGTTATTATTATTATTATTTTATTGATTTTTGGCTGTGGTGGGTCTTCCTTGCTGCGCGTGGGGCTTTCTCTAGTTGCGGCGAGCGGGGCTACTCTTTGTTGCCGTGCACTGGCTTCTCATTGCAGTGGCTTCTCTTGTTAGGGAACATGAGCTTTAGGTGCACGGGCTTCAGTAGTTGCAGCACATGGGCTCAGTAGTTGCGGTGCGTGGGCTCTAGAGCACAGGCTCAGTAGTTGTGGCGCACGGGCTTAGCTACTCCACGGCATGTGGGATCTTCCCAGACCAGGAATCAACCCACGTCCCCTGCATTGGCAGGTGGATTCTTAACCACTGTGCCACCAGGGAAGTCCCCAACAGCATTATTTTTTAATATATGTACATTGTGTTTTTAGACCAATGCTATTGTACACTTAACAGACTACAGTATAGTGTAAACATAACTTTCATATGCACTAGGAAAACAAAAAACTGTGGGACTCGCTTTAATGTGATATTTGCTTTATTGCTGTGGTCTGCAACTGAACCTGCAATATCTCCAAGGTCTGCCTGTACTCTGAAGGGTAGAGAGAAGGCAGCAGACACACTAAGACTGCTAAGACCCCAGTAATGACACAGTGGGTGTCAAAGGAGACCGAGTAGGGTACCTGGACTGCCCCATCCACCTGGCAGTAATGAGTCAGTGCCCCAGCCATGTGTAAGAAAAGTCCTTCTATAACAAAGATTTACATAAGACCCAGACTCTCAAAACATAATATCCAAAATGACCAGGTCTAATTTGAAAGATCATTCGTCACAACAGGAACCAGGAAAATCTCGTCTTGAGTGAGAAAAAACCATCCTTAACAGCTGCTAACACTGAGATGACACAGATTTTGGAATTTTCTGACAAGGATTTTAAAACAGCCATAATAAAAATGCTTTGAGGAGCAATTACACACATGCTTAAAATAAATCTAAAAAACTAGAAAGGCTCAGCGAAAAAAGAGAAGACATAAAGAACGCAACGGAGGACTTCCCTAGTGGTGCAGTGGTTAAAAATCCGCCTGCCAAGGCAGGGGACACGGGTTTGAGCCCTGGTCCGGGAAGATCCCACATGCCTTAGAGCAACTAAGCCCCTGAGCCACAACTACTGACCCTGCACTCTAGAGCCCGCAAGCCACAACTACTGAAGCCCGCGTGCCTAGAGCCCGTGCTCCGCAACAAGAGAAGCCACTGCAATGAGAAGCCCGCACACCGCAACGAAGAGTAGCCCCCGCTCGCCGCAACCAGAGAAAGCCCGCGGGCAGCAATGAAGACCCAACGCAGCCAAAAATAAAACAAATTTTAAAAAAAGAACGCAATGGATATTTCAGATCTGAAAGATACAATAATTAAAATAAAAGGCTCCATGGATGGACGGACACAACAAAAGAATGGAGGCAACAGAGGAAATGATGTAAAACACAAGGATAAAAATTACTCAGTCTGAACACCAGTGAGAACATATTCTGGAAAAGCATGAGAACAGACTCTCAATGACCTCACATCCCTGGGATCTGAATCCTAAAACCAGAGGAGAAAGAGAATAAGACTGGAAAACTATTCAAGAAATAATGGCTGAAATTTCCCCAAACTTCGCAGAAGCCATGAGTCTATGCATATATGAAACTCAGTGAACCCCAAACAGGATGAGCCCCAAGAAATCTAATGCAAGATGCATCACAATCCAGAAAAAGAGGAAGAAGTTCCTTGCATGCAGTGAGACAGAAATGCCTCCTCACTGTGGAGGGAACCCACCACTCACGTGACCTTGGACTTATCAGAAGGTAGTGGCACAACAGTTTCAAGTGCTGAAAGAAAAGAACTGTCGATCCCCAAAGCTATGCATTGTGAAACTATCCTTCAGGAATGAAGGGGACATAAAGACAATCTCAGGTGAAGGAAAACTGAGAGGATTTATCACAAGCAGCAACAAAGACCCAACGCAGCCAAAAATAAAATTAATTAATTAAAACAAAAACTGCTCCTGGCAGGCTCCTGGTTCCCAACAGACACTGACTGATTGACAAAGAGACATCAAGTGTCTGTGCAGCTGAAACTTCCCATGATGAGCCAGGTGTTGTCATTCCCACCAAGTCATTGGGTTGCAACCCACTGTTGGATGAGTGGTAAACCTGGGGCCAGGAATAGGTCCGCAGAACAAGGTAAGTCCCACAAAGGCAGGGGTTAGAGGCACAGGATACCTCCACGGCTACCTGTCACGGTGACACCCCTCCCTCAGCTGTCCTCTGCAGCTTTACGGCCTGGGTCACGTCTGGGCAGCGTCAGGTTTGGGGGTGGTGTTGCTCTACAGCCCTGTACCTGAAAGATACTGAGGGAAAATGCTTTCACAGAGCAGACATCTGGGTGATGAACAGGATACCTTTTGTGTGTGTGGAAAGAACAGGGTAGAGGAAAAGATGTACACGGACCCGGGGATGGGAGCAACCGCCCTGCCTAGACAGTCAGGGGAACTGAGCGGGAGGGGACAAGGATACCCAGGAAGGAGGAATGGGTACAGGAGTGGGCACGAGGCATGTGGTCTTTCAATGAGGTATTAATGTCCCCCCCAGAGCCTCACTGCAGACAGGGTCCTTAACAGCCAAGGGGACAGGACGCCTGGTTCAGTGGATGTTCGCCAGCCTCTGCCTCCTTGCTTACACACTGGGCCTTTGAAGGATGGCCGTGGAGACAGAGATGGAGGCTAGTCATCAGCCTGGAATCAGGGACTGGCTGCCATTCACCGAGAGTGATTTAACTACAGATACTGCTGAATGTCCATTGTGTCAGCAGAGGAAAGGAACACTTGAGTCCTTAACATTGTATCATTTCTTATGGAAGCAAATCAGACACGTGGTTGCAGGTTGACTTCATCCTGGTGGAATGGACACTGGTTGAGCCTGGTATGACTAGTATGCATGTGTATGTATACTGAGACATGAAATGTACCCCCTTTGTGCTGTTTGATCAGCTTTGGCAAATGTAGAAATTCACGTAGCAACTGTCACCACAATCAACATATAAAACATTGCCATCACTCCTGAAATTCCATGGTGACCTTTTTAGTCAACCTACACCCTCCAAACCCACACTGAACCAAACAGCAACCAGTGCTCCTCACTAGGAATTAGTTTTACAAGGTCTAGAATTTCATAAAAATGGAACTATAAAGTCTGTACTCTTCTGTATCTGCCCTCTTTTGTTCAGTATAATGTTTTGATTCATCAACTTTATTGGTATCTCATTTGAGTTTTCATTTCTCTAATTATTATAGATGTTAAGCAGTTTTTCATGTGCTAATTGGTCATTTATATATCTTTTTTTTTTTTTTTTTTGCAATACGCGGGCCTCTCACTGTTGTGGCCTCTCCCGCTGCGGAGCATAGGCTCCGGACGCGCAGGCTCAGTGGCCATGGCTCACGGGCCCAGCCGCTCCGCGGCATGTGGGATCTTCCTGGACCGGGGCACGAACCCGTGTCCCCTGCATCGGCAGGCGGACTCTCAACCACTGCGCCACCATTTCTTCTTTTGAGAAATGTCTGTTTAAACTGTTTTACTCAAGTGGGAAGGTTTTATTATTATTTATTTGTAAAAGTCCTTATTTATTCTACATACAAATCCTTTATCTCGCGCGCGCACACACACACACACACACACTATATATATATATATATATATAGTGTATATATTTTCTTTTAGTCTTGGCTTGTTTCTTCCATTACCTAACATGGTCTTTTTTTTTTTTTTTTTAATTTATTTTCTGGCCGCACCATGTGGCATGCAGGATCTCAGTTCCCTGACCAAGGATGGAACCCTCGCCCCCTGCAATGGAAGCGCAGAGTCGTAACCACTGGACCATCAGGGAAGTTCCCTGATACAGTCTTCTGAAGAACAAAAGTTTTTAATTTTATGAAGTCCAATAAATCTTTTGTTTTTGTTGTTTTCTGTGCTTTTTGTACCTTTCTTAAGAAATCTTTGTTTGGGACTTCCCTGCTGGTCCAGTGGTTAAGACTTAGCCTTCCAATGCAGGGGGTGCGGGTTCGATCCCTGGTTGGGAGCTATGATCCCACATGCCTCGCGGCCAAAAAACCAAAGCATAAAACAGAAGCAATATTGTAACAAATTCAATAAAGCCTTTAAAAAAAAATCTTTGTCTAATCCAAGGTTGTGGAGATTTTCTTTAATGTCTCCTTTTAGATACTTTATGGTTTTGCTATTGCAATTAGATCTATGATCCATTTCATGTGAATTATTGTGTATGGTGTGAGGTAAAGGTGAAGCTTCATTTTTTCCAAATAAATATCCAGTTCTTCCAGAAACATTTGTTAAGAAGATTATCTTTTCCTCAAGGAAGTACTCTGTTCCTTCGTTAAAAATCAATTGATCATATATGTGTGTTTACTCCTGGGATCTCTGTTGTTTATTTTTTCCACCTATCCTTATGCAAATTCCACACTGTCCACTACATTTGTTCCTTCCATATAAAGTCTTGGAATAAGACGTCCAATTTTATTCCTTTTCTAAATTCTTGAGCTATTATTGCTCTTACATATTTCTACCTCCATTTTAGTATCAGCTTGTCAATTGCTACAAAAGCTAGTTCAGATTTTGATTGGTGTTTCTTTGAATACATATCAATTTAGAGAGAGCTGATATCTTAAAATATTGAGTCTTTCAATCAATAAATGCGGTATATCTTTTTTTGTTGTTCTTTAATTTCTCTTACCGACGTATTATAGTTCTTAGTCTTCAGATCTTACACATAAATACTTACGTTTATTCCTACATGTTCATGGTTTTCCGTGCTATAGTAAAAAGTATTGTGTTTTAACTGTGCTTTCCAGTTGTCCTTTGTTAATTTGTAGAATGAAATCAATTGGTTTTTGAATATTGATCTTTTATCTTGAGACCTTGCTCCTTCACCTACTAGTTGTAGAAGCTCTTTTGTAGATTCCTTAGGAACTCCTCCATACAGGATCATGTAGATTGGGAATAAAGACAGTTTTATTCCTTCCATTTCAATCTGTAAGCTTCTTTTCCCTCTCACTTGTCTTACTGCACTGGCCAATTCTGAAGAGAAGTCATGAGAGCGTCACTGTCTGCTTCCCAACCACAGAGGGAAAGCATTTGGTATGACATTAGGTAAATGTAGATCCCAGACGCTCTTCACCCGATTAAGGAGGTTCCCTTCTATTCCTATATAGCTGGGCGTTTAATTAATTTTATCAAATCATTCTGTGCATATACTTATATAATGACGTGGGCTTTCTTTGTTAGTCTATTAACATGATGGATTAACCTCACTGGTTTTCAAATATTGAACCAGCCTGGCATCTGATGATAAATCACACTTGGTTATGATATGTTATCCTTTTCAGATATGGTTGGCTTTCATATACCAGTATGTTGGTGAGAAATTTTCTATGTTCTTGAGGGATATTGGTCTGCAGCTCTCTTTCCTTGTACTGTCTTTGCCTAATTTGAGTTTGGAGTAATGCTTACCTCATAAAATTGCTGCAAAGTGTTTCTTTACCTTCTATTTCCTGGAAGAGATTGTGTAAAACTGCATTATTTCTTCCCTAAATGTTTAGTAGTACATGCCAGTGAGGCCACTCTGGCCAGGAGTCTTCTTTGTTGGAGAGTTGTTTTAACTATAAATTCAATTTCTTTAATATTTTTAAAGAATATTCAGATTATTTCTCCTTAAGTGAGTTTTGGTAGTCTATGTCTCTCACGAGTTGTCAAAATTATGGGCACAGAATTGTAATATTTTCTTATTACCCTACTAATAGCAGTGGGGTTTGTAGTGATACCCTGTCATTCATTCCAAATATTGGCAAGTTGTGTCTTCCCTCTTTCTTCCATGATTTCTCTGACTAGTGGTTTGTCAATTTTATTGGCCTTTTTAAAGAATCGGCTTTGGCTTTCATTTACTTCTGTTATTGTTTTTCTGTTTTCAGTTTCATGTAGTTCTGCCCTTTAATATTTATTACGTTTACTTTGAGGTGAGCTTGCTCTTCTTTTTCTTGTGTCTTAAAATGAAAACTTAGCTTAGCGATTAGAAACCATTCTTTCTTTCTTTCTCTCTCTTTTTTTTGGCCTCGCCACAAGGCATGTGGGATCTTCGTTCCCCAACCAGGGATAGAACCCATGCCCCCTGCACTGGAAGCGCAGAGTCTTAACCACTGGACCACCAGGGAAGTCCCAAAAACCATTCTTTTTTTAAATATGAGCACTTGCTGGTCTTACTTTCTTTCTAAACACTGCTTTAGCTGCATCTCACAAGGTTAGTGTATTTTCATTTTCATCCAGTTCAAAATATTTTCCAATTTTCCTTGAGTTCCTCACCATGGATGATTTAGAAGTGTGTTGTTTAATTTCTAAATAGCTGAAGATTTTCCAGATAGCTTTCTAATAATAGATTTTAACTTAAATTCCATTAGGGTCAGAAAAGAAGTGATGTATGATAGTAATTCTTTTAAATCTGTTAAGCTTTCTTTAATAGCCAAGGATGAAGACTATCTTGGCCAGTATCCCATGCACACTTGAAAAAGGTGTATTTTGCTATTGGTTGAGTGTGCTCTGTGTGCCAGTTAGGTCAAGTTGGTTGATAGTATAGTCAAGGTTTTCTATATCCTTGCTGATTGGCCACCTATTTGCTCTATCACTTACCAAGAGAGGAGTCTCAAAGTCCCTGACTATAACTGTTGATTTATCTACTTGTCCTTTCATTTCTGTCAGTTTTTGCTTTATATACCTTGGAGCTCTGTGGTTTTGTGTGCACACATTTGGGATTACTATGTCTTCTTGATGAATTGACCTTTTTATCCTTACCCCTGATAATTTTCTTGCTCTAAGGCCTCTGATACATTTTATTGTACTGTCTTGTACAGCACAGCCACCAAGGAAGGTAATGTCACTTCCTTGCTGTCCCAAAGATATCCAAGCCCTAATCCCTGCAACCTGTGAATATGTTACCTTACATAGCAAAAAGGGGCTTTGCAGATGCGACTAAATTAAGAATTTTGAGATGGGACATTATCCTAGGTAATCTGGGTGATCCCAGTGTATTCACAAGGCTTCTTGTAAGAGGGAGACAAAAGGATCAGAATCAGGGGTAGGACATGTGATAACAGGGGTTGGAGTGATGGAAGGAAGGGGCCACAAGCCAGGTGCTGCATGCAGGCAGCCCCTTGTAGCTGAAAAAGGCAAGGAAACAGATTCTCACCACAAAGCCACTAAGAGCAAGCAGCCCTGCTGACACCTCGACTTTAGCCCACTGAGACTGATTTTGTATCTGTGACCTCCAGAACAGTAAGACAACACATTTGTGTTGCTTAAAGCCACTAAGTTTGTGGTAATTTGTTACAACACCAATAGGAGACTAATGCAGCCACGTAAGCTTTCTTTTGATGAATGTTTGCATAATACCTTCTTTCATCCTATTAACCTATTTATACCACTTTTAACCTATTCATACCACTGTATTAAGTGAACCTCTTGAGGACTGCATATACTTGGGTCTTACTTGCTGTTAATCCAGTCTTACAATCTCTGCCATTTAATTGTGCTTTCACCATTTATATTTAATGTAATTACTGACAAGGTTATATTTACATTTTTCCTTTTATTGTTTGTCTTCTCTTTATCCCCTCTATTGTTTGCTCTTCAAGTTTCCCTTCCCTTCCTTCTGTTTGCTTTTTGGAGTATATTTTTAGTATTCCATTATATCTACTGATATTCCAACTGAAAATCTTCACATGTTGTTTTTTTAGTGGCCGTTGCAGGCATTATAATACACACACCTAATTCCACAGAGTTAATATTTTAACTCTTCAGAAGAAACATAGGGGCCTTCCCTGGTGGTCCAGTGGCTAAGACTCCACGCTCCCAATGCAGGGGGCCCAGATTCGATCCCTGGTCAGGGAACTAGATCCCATATGCTGCAATTAAGAGTTCGCATGCCACTAAGAGTTTGCATGCCACAACTAAAGATCCCGCATGCCTCAATGAAGATCCCGTGTGCCGCAACTAAGACCCGGAGCACCCAAATAAATAAATAATTTTTTTTTTTTTAAAAAGAGAAACACAGAAACCTTATCACCATACAGGTCCTTTCACCCTCATTCCCCATCATGTTGTAGCTGTTATATGTATTCATCTATATATATTAAAAGCTCAACCAGACATTGTTATTTTTGCTTTCAACAGCCATACATATTTTAAAGAACTTAAGAGGAAACGAGAAAAATATGCTGTTACATTTACTTAGATATTTACCACCTTTTGCTCTTCCTTTATTGTTGAATTTCCAAGTTTCCCTCTAGAACTATTTCCTTTCTGCCTGAAGAACTTACCTTATCCCTTTTTTTAGAGCAGCTCTGCAGGCAACACATTCTCTCAGTGTTCCTTCCTCTAAGAATGACTATTTTCCTTTCATTCCTGAAGAATATATCCAGAAGAAGTCCAGATTAGCTCTTCTTGTTTTTCAGAACTATAAATCTGACCGTAGTGGTTTCTGATGTGAAATCGGTAACCGTTCAAATCCTTTTTGCTCTGTATGGAACCTGGCACTTTTCTCTGGATGCTCTCAAATTTTTTCCCACTGGTTTGATTATGATTGTGATGTGTAGGCATCGTTTTTATTTTATTTTATTTTATTTTACTTTTTTATTGATGTACAGTTGATATACAATATTATATGTTACAAGTATACAATATAGTGATATACAATTTCTTTTTTTGTCAATCCCAAACTCCCTGACTATCCTTCCCCACCACCCTTACCCCTGGTAACCATAAGTTTATTCTCTGAGTCTGTTTCTATTTTGTAAATAAGCTCGTTTGTATCATTTTTTTAAGATTCCGCATTCCACATTTCTTGCATTTTCGTCATTCCTTTTCCGAGATCCTGGATATCTTCACTATCATTATTCTGAATTCTTTTTCTGGAAGGTTGCCTATCTCCAATTCACTTAGCTGGTTTCCTGGGGTTTTACCTTGTTCCTTCATCCGGGACATAATCCTCTGCCTTTTCATTTTTTCTGTCTTTCTGTGATTGTTGTCTTTGTTCTGCAGCCTGCAGGACTGTAGTTCTTCTTGCTTCTGCTGTGTGCCCTCATGGGCATCGTTTTAAAACCTTATCCAATTTTTCATTTGTGGAGCATCTTGGACATGTAAATGGATGACTTTCAACAAACCTGGGGACTTCCCTGGTGGTCCAGTGGTTAAGACTTCGCCTTCACCAGGGGGTGCAGGTTCAATACCTGGTCAGGGAGCTAAGATTCCGCATGGCTCAGTGCCAAAAAATAAATAAATAAATAAATAAATAAAGCAGAAGCAATATTATAACAAATTCAATACAGACTTTTAAAAAGTGGTCCACATCAAAAAAAAATCTGTAAAATCGTATTTAGCTCATCAAAAAAATTTTTTTGTTCATTGATATCATTCTCCTTTTGCTGGCAGAGCAATGATATAAATGGCCTCACAGATCCTGGGTGTTGTTCATTTTAAAAAATCTTTGCTTCCAACCTATGCTCTTACCCCACGCCTGGAGAAAGAATTCACAGAATGAGATGAAGAGTTCTGCCCAGGGGAGAAAGGGGCACTGAGGAGGCAGAACTGACTCAGAGGTTTTGAAGAAGGGAGATGAAAAAAGATGGTGCTGAATTATAGGCACAAGGAGGTCAGTGAAGGGAAGTGTTTGGGGAAAAGAAAATCCAATCCCAGGTCAGGAGGCAGGGCTGTGCTTCACGCTAAAGAGCGTGATCAGTCTTCCAAGCATCTCCCCATGTGTCCCTCTCTCCTGGGGTCACCCCATTTATGACCACCCCATTCGCTCCTCCAGGCAACCAAGTTAGAGAGTGGGAGCGCTTTCAGTTCCCCAGTCTCCTGCACTTCACACCCGACCACCAAATCCACACACTGTGCTCCTTGAGCCCTTCTTAACAATGTCCCTGATCCATCGCAAGGCTCAGGACATCTTGTCTGTTTCATCACATCAGCCTCCTTCCTGGTCCTCCAATCCAGGCTCCACTCCTTACTCCAGCTCATTCCTCTCACCACCTATAGTGAGAGGAACTATATCCAGACCAGGCCTGGATGCAGTTCCTATAACCGCATCCGATCTGAACCTGCCCTGCTCAAAACCCTTCCAACAGTTTCCACCTTCGAAACAAAGTCAAGGTGCATCATCTGATATTCCAGGCTGTGAATGATCAGCCCCAGCAAACGCCGCTCTCCCTCCCGAGCCAAACTCATCACACATAACCATGTCTCCCCCAAACACACACATACACAGAGCTACTGAACAATTCTGCACCTCCTCAGACTGCCCCCTTAGCCAGCGTGAACGGAGCCATGTCCTTTCCAACCTGCCAGACCAAGAAGCCTTCCTTTTTCATTCCACTCAACTATAAATATATGTTGTTATAAGTTCGTGTAAGGTTTATAGGAGAAAACCACATAAATGACTTAAAATACTGATCAACACATCATCCAGGAGAGAGATTAATGTTGGAATTTTACTATTAATAGAGTTAACTATCAATACAGCCCTCCTGCGTTACATTTTCTATATGGTGGTAATCTTTTGATAATAGAAATCTATTCATACTCTCTGCTGCTTAAAATCTTCCAATTGCTTTAAAGATAAATCCAGAATACTTACCTGGCGCTCAAGATCCTGTGTGGCAAGGCCCCAGCCCTCGTCTAATTGCTCTCAGTTCTGAGAACAGCTCAAGATCTTTCTGGTCAAGGATGCCTCCACCACCACCACCACCACCCCTGAGCTAACTACTGCTCATCAATCCACCAGAAGGACACCTCACAACCAGGACCCAGGCTTCATGGCGTCTACCTGTTAATGAAACTCATTGTTCCCCGTTTTTTTTCTTCCAACTTGTAACAGTCTCACAAGACTATAACTGAATTGTCTGCCATGTAAATATTTGCAATGTCTGTTTTCAGTACTCTGGGCCCCATGAGTCCAGGAAAGGAATCTGTCGGCTTCACCAGTGAATCTCCAGTGTCTGACACCATAACTGAACATGGTCATTGCTCAACAAATACTGCCTTACTGGACTAGCTGATGAAAGAAAGGAACAAAATTTGCATTTACAGAAGCTCAGGAAAGGGAATTTACTTGCCCCAGATCACACAGCCTACGTAAGAGGCAGAATAAGAATGGGAACAGGTGTTGGGGTAGCTCTTGGGCCTGCTTCTTCTAGCCTCACGTTCTGGGATGTTATGTCACTCTCTGGATTTGGATTTGGCAATGAGGAGGGAGGACAGGAAGGCAGAGTGGGGGGGGGGATCTGGTGAGTCTCAGATCTGGCCTGAAACATCCCCAGAGCCTGCTGTCTCCTGGGCCCCATGCTTCAGGGAGAGCAGAGGGAGGCTGATGAGGAACCCAGGACATTTAACACAGAGCCTGCACCTTGTCACCCCCCACATGTCTGTCTGTCCTGCTGGCTCTGTGGACTTTGTGAGACACCAGCACGGCTGGGGACCATGGGAGGCACAGCCACGACCCCGACCCTCACTGCCCTTCTCTGCCTCGGTGAGCTTTGGGGAAGGGAGAGGGGAAGGGGCCCCTCTCCTCCCAGGTCTGAAGCTGAGAGACCCCAGGTCTCAGGAGATCAGTGGGGGCAGAAATTGTGGGGGAGGAAGGATGTGCTCAGCTCCAGATCTGACCCCAGAACTCAGGGCCCAGACCAGGCCTGGAGCATCTATGATGTGTGCTGGGGGATGGGCGCTCACAGGGAACTCTCTCCCAGGGCTGAGTCAGGGCCCGTGGAACCAGGTCCAGGCAAGTGAGGCCCCCCAGACCTCCTGCTTCCACCCAACAACCCCCTGGTCATCTGGGGGGAACACAGCAGGTCTGAAATGATGGTGACCTGTCTGGGAGGGGCCTGGGGAATGACAGCTGGGGAAACTGAGGGGAGAAGGGCACCCCTAACTCTTCAGGTCTGATCCCTTTCCAGGGGTCCTCCCCAAACCCTCCATCTGGGCTGACCCAGGTGTCATGGTCACCAAGGGAAGCCCTGTAACCATCTGGTGTCCAGGATCTCTGAGGGCTGATGTCTACCGTCTGTATAGAGAGAGGCCCTCTGGACTCTGGGAGGCTAAGGCCCCACAGGACTCCAGTAACAAGGCCAGTTTCCCCTTTGAATCCTCGAGCTCAAGCACTGCAGGCAGTATCAGTGTGTCTATCACAGCAGGAAAGACAGGTCAGAGTGGAGTGACCCCCTGCCCCTGGTGGGGACAGGTAGGAGGGAGGACCCGGGTCCCCTCCCACTGCGGCAGCTTCCTTACAGGCAGAGGGAGCAGAGTGTGGGCTCAGGGGGACGGACGTCTCCCCTCACAGCCCACACCTGCGGTGAGCGGGGTGAAGGTCCCCCTTTAATCCAGCCCCTTCCCCTCCCTCAGGGGTGCACAGAGCCCCTCCTTCTCAGCCCAGCCACGCCCTGTGGTGGCCTCAGGAGAGAACGTGTCCCTGGCATGCAGCTCACAGTTTGCAGCGGGCACTTTGCACCTGCTGAAGGAGGGAGGTGCTGACCCGCCCGACACCGGACATCGAGGACCCATGGGAGGGGACAGGCCGTGTGCCCTGTGGGCCCCCTAAACTCCTCCTGTGGGGGAACCCGCGGATGCTATGATTCTCCCAGCTCCCTGCACATGTGTGGTCACACCCCAGTCACCCTCTGCATCGCCAGGTCACAGGTGAGGGCCCCCAGCCCCATCGTTTCCTGGACCCCTGACCTGAGCCTTGTGCCCAGTGAGCCCTGGGGTGATGGGGGATCAGGGGCAGTGGCCTCCTGGGGCAGAACCACTGGCGGGAGGCCTGGGAGGGACCAGGGAGAGCTCGCACTGCAGCCCCAGTGAGCAGTGTGGGGTGGGCGTCCCCCTCGGTGCCACTGTCCCTTCTCTGCAGGCGTGTACAAGGAGCCCTCCCTCTCAGCCCAGCCGGGCTCACTCGTGCTCCGTGGAGACAGCCTGATCGCCGGTGAGCAGCCCCTGTCCTGCCCCATGTCCTGACTGTGTTCTCAGGGTGCTGGGCCCAGAGCCACCCCTGGTGGTGATGGGGTCCTGGGAGGGGTCCTAGAGCAGACATTGAGATAGGGCAGTGGTCCACGGAGGGAAAAATGGAGCGGGTGCCGGGAGATAAGAGAGACCCACACAGAGGGGCTGAGAGCAGCTGAGAGGGGGTCACAGACAGGGTCCCTGGAGAGAGAATGGTGGTCCCTCAGCTCAGGGTCAAGGGTGTGCTGGGGGTGGCTCTGTACACATCACGACCTTCCTCGCCCCCAGGAATGTACAGGAAGCCCTCCCTCTCAGCCCAGCTGTGGGCCTCAGAACCCTGCAGAGAGAATGTGACCCTGTAGTGTGGCTCTGAGGTCTGGTCCGATCCGCTCCATCTGTCCAAGGAGGGGTCACTCACTCCTCTCCAGCACCTTTGTCTGCAGGACACGGCTCCACCCTTTCAGAACTTCACCTTGAGTCCTGTGACCTCAGCCCACAGTGGGACCTACACGTGCTACAGCTCACTTGGCACCTCCCCGTCCCTGATGTCACAGCCCAGCGACCCCTGGAGCTCCTGCTCTCAGGTGAGGGACCCCAGCCCTGGCCCTCTGTGTCTTCCTGGTCAGTTCAGGGTCCTGTCCCCAGCTCTGGGCTGGGCTGGGAGTGAGGGGGTCACAGAAGGAGGGGAATCAACAGTAAAGGGATGGACAAGGCCAGAGCAACTCCCTTCCCTGCACCATCCTCATCCCTGGGGTCCAGACATGTTCCAGGTGGTAGGGAAGACTTGGGGCTGACCAGAAGGGGAAAAGACCAGACCCCCCCCCATCTCCATCCTCCTCCACACAAGAGTGGTGGATAGCAGAGGTCTCAGTCCCCAAGGGACCAAGATCACGGGCCCTGGCACAGCTTGTGTCCCAGCGGGCTGGGAGTCGGGCACAGATGCGGGGAGACCAAAGGGCTCCCGGGGCTCTGCGGCTGGTCGCTGAAGGGTGGGGGCTCATGGAGAGGGAGATGTCGGGGCCCATCCTGGGGGAGGAGCAGTGGGCTGTGTGGGGAGAAGCAGCCCCCGGCCCTCCCCTCCTGTCCTGACCCCCAGGAGGCTCTGAGGATCAGCTTCTCCCCCACACAGAGTCAGGCGTGCAGACAGGTGAGTGAGGGTCTCTGTGGGGAGGTGGTGGTGGGAGGAGCTCAGTCTGGTCTTGGCTCAGCCACTTCCTGAGTTAATGGCCTGAGGAAAGTTCCTTCTTCTCACTGGGACCCACTTCCCCGACTGCAAAGGGCAAGAAGTCTGCTCCCACACTGTGCGTGGGGATGGTGTCTGCGCCCTCCTGCTTGAAGGCAGGGGCTTCAGCCCTCCAAGGAGCAGCCGTGGGGTCAGGGAAGGACAGGGCTTGGAAGTCACCGCTCTGCTACTTCCCAGGCTTGCGATCTTGGCTGAGTCATGTTCCTCGCAGAGGCCGAGGCTCACCTGCGTGGAGGGGCCCTCCTGCTTCCTCCCTCAACGGGGAGCCCTCAGCACAGGCCATTTAGAGCTCAGGAAGGCCAGAGCCTCCCGCCTGCCCCTCCCAGACACACACACCCTTGTCCACACGGGTCCCGCGGGGGGATGCCAGGCCTCTGCAGAGTGGGGACAGATCTGGGCTGGGCTGGCAGAGGAGTAGGGGTTGGGTTTGAGGGACACGTCTCTGTACTGGTGTTCTGCCTAGAGGCGACAGCATTAAAAAAAAATAATTAAAAAAAAATACAAGGGAGCCCACAGTCCTGGGTTCCAACCCCAGCTCTGCCACATCCAGGCTGGGTGGCCTGAGGCATGTGCGTTTCCTCTGTGCCTCAGTCTCCTCATCTGTAAAGTGGGTGGGAGTGACAGTCACTGTTGCACGATTGTTGTGAAAGTTAGAGGAGATGAATGCACAGACCCCAGCACGAGCCTGCACACAGTAGGCGCTCAATTAAATGGCATCTTGGGCTCACTCATGACGTCACTGGTGCCCCAGGTCTCAAATGGTACCTGAACGTCCTGATTGGGGTCTCGGTGGCCTTCGTCCTGCTGCCCCTCGTCCTCCTCGTCCGACACCGGGGTCAGAGCAGACGCAGGAAGTCGGGTGAGTAGGGAACGGGGTGACCCAGGCCCCTGGAGGTGGTGGGCTTAGGGCACCAGCCAAAGGGAAACCTAAGAGACGGGTGAAGTCAGGTTAGAAAACCCCTCCAGCATCTCCAAATGAGAAAATCTAAAGAGATTAAATATGAGTGTACACGTATTTTCTTTTGATTTTTTTAAACTTATGAAATGTTTGAAAACACATGCAAGTTTTGTATTTTATGGTTTAGGTTTTTCTCTTGACTTCTTTATGGAGGTGGGAGGGGAGTATAATCTTATCAGTTTGTAGGACCTCGCAGATCTTACTGTAACCCTAGAGAAGGGTTCTGGGGTGGGCTGGAGGCCGATTCCCAACTTCCTGCAGCGGCTGCAGCATCAGTGCTCAAGGACAGAGGCCGGCAGAAGAGGCAAGACATCTCCCAAAGACTCCCACCCCGGCCAGCCTGCACGCAGCTCCCGCACTGCCCCTCACACTCCTCTCTCCCCGCCGAGCTCCAGCCCAGCTGCCCAGCCCAGTCCAGGAGGAGAGCTTGTGTAAGGGGAAGAGAGGCCATCCTGGGGGCAGGAGACAGGGCCAGACAATGTGGGTGGGCAGTGGACACCAGGGAGTGGTTGGAAAGGGTTCTGGGCTTGGGGATGTGAGAGCTCGAATCTGATACTGTGTGGCCTTGGCCACATCACTGACCCTCTCTGGACATCTGCTGTGTGAGATGTCAGGGAATCTCGGCAAGAGATGGGACCTCCTTGTTCTCTCCCCACCGGATGCTGTCGTGGAAGACACACAGCCGGAGGACGGCAGGCAGCTGGTCAGGTCAGCTCCCCCAATCCTGACCAGGGCACCCACACCTCCTTGTTCAGACGTTAAATCCAGCGGACACTAAACCCTGACACCTCTCAACTCCTGGCAGCCTCTCCCTTCTGGAAGCACCTGCCCTGTGGGCTGCTGCAACCCCACACCTGGTCTCCTCTGACCTTCAAGGTGTTGAATGCTCAGGTCGAGCTGGCAGGGCTGAAGGTTAGGGCTAAGAGTCTGTGCCCCCCACAAAGGTGCTAAATCCAATCCTGGGGCTGCAGAGAGGCCCAGAGGGGATGCCTTCTAAACTCCAGAGGATTCTAAAATACTCGCTCATCCCTTGGCTGCTCCAGGTTGGGTGATCCAGCAACGTACCTCGTGCGTTGGTTAACGGGTGAGGATCAGCTCCTGTTCACACTGGAGAACCCTAGCTCGCTCCCAGGCTGCAGCGGGGTCCCACTGTCCCTCCATGTTGATGGTGCCACACCCAATTCCTATCTCCAGTCCTGCCCTCTCCCCTGCACCAAACTTATACAACCAGCCACCAGTCACAGGAATTTCAACTTCCTTCACTTCCCTCCTCCCTGAGGCTCAAAGCTACAGGGACTGAAGGAAGGAAAGATTCGGAGACCAGTGCTCACTGTCTCCAGCAGAGCCCTGATGACTAAGACCACCAAGGAGTGCCTCCTTTCCTCCTGGGCCCCGAGGCTTCCCCCACCCAACCACCCTCCCTCCCTCTCCCCCATGCCAGGCTGCTGCATCTGAAGCTCCCCAGGATGTGACCTATGCCCAGCTGAACCACTCGGCCCTCAGACGGGAGGCTGCACCCCCCGCCCCCCAATCAGGGGAGCCCCCAGCAGAGCCCAGCGTGTATGCTGCTCTCGCCGTCCGCTAGCCCAGGAAGGACCCAGACCCCACGCTCCAGGGACCCCCAGGAGCTGCCCGCATAAATGCTTATACCGAACTCCAGCCAGCCTGGAGTCCTGACACGAACCACCAGGAGCTTCCGAGACCTCCTGGAAGCCAACTGCTTCCAGAACTCCATGGACATCACAGCTGATTTTATGGTCCCTACCAAGGTTCCTGACCTCAAGGACCCTACTGCCATCAACACCTTGGGGTGAGGGAGGCCTACCACCCAGCCCAAGTAGGCTGCGAGGAGTTGGATTCTTCTGCAGGCTTCACAGGCTTCGCAAAGAACCATGAGCCCTCACTGTGAAGCTGGCCACTTACATCACACTTGCATCACACCCACAAATCCCCCAGACCGGGACTAGTGTGCCCTGTGGCTGCAGCTGCTCAATTCCAAGTGTTCCTCATTTCCCGAGACCAAGCCCCTTCCTTCCCTGCCTGAGGCAGCTTCTCAGAGAAAAGGGAAGCCCGCCTCCCTCGGGACCAACAATATCATCAGAAACTCCAAATGCAGGGGCAGGGGCAGGGTTCCCCTGCGTCCTCTGCCTGGAAATGACTCCTCGCCGCACACGCAAACGGATGGCTGAGAATTTCCTTCTGGTTTTGCCTCAAAGAACCTTCCTCATACTACTACTGGTCTCCCTGCTGTGATACGTTATGTGTAGAGATGTTTGTTAGGACACCGTAGCCCAGCCCTAAGAGGAAAAGGACCACCATCTTGCAGGTGGTCTCAAGCACCTGAACAAAGCCGACCCGGCCCCTCTGTGCACGTGTGGAAACCCGCTGAAGGACGCAGCCTGCACTTCCCACCGCAGAAGGCTTGTGTTCAGAGCACGGAGGAAAAGAGGCACACCAATGAACACCAGTTCTGAAGTGTGGATGTCATTTTATTATCTGACTGGAAAACTAGACTCCATCAGCCCTGGCGGGCCTGGGTGGGCTCAATCCTCCTCCTCGTCATCGCCAGCTCCAGCCCCGCCCTGGCCCTTCTTGGCGTTCTTCCTCTTCACGCGGCCTGGGCGGCCGCCCCCGTACGGAGAACGGAGGGAGAAGTCGATGTGCTTCTGGGAGTCCAGGCGGACAATGAAGGACGGGATGTTCACCACCTGCTTGCGGACCCTGGAGGGGGACGGCAGGTGAGCAGGACAGGGAAGCAGGACGCTGCCCTCCTCTGCCTGTGCTTTGCAGCTGACAGGGCTGGTGCTATAGAGCTGCACTGACTCTGAAGCAATAAACGGGAAGGGCTCCTGATCCTAAAGAACTGCTGTGTGTTCCGGAGAGCTTTCAGGCATCACCTAATTCACACAAATGGATCCACCTTTACATTCACACCTCACAGAAGGCAGGGAGCAATTCAGAAGTAACCCACGAGACCAGAGCAAATGAGGTGAGGCGGCAGCATATAAACCCAAGACCTGCTTTTCAAATTCACAACTGTGCCAGACACTTAAAATATTCTCAACTGTGTGTGTCACACACTGAGCTCTATTAGCAGGTGCAGTTTCATTGTCTTCGAAGCAGCAACCCGAAAGGACAGGGGTTGTTTCATTTCAGACAAGCAACGTTGAGAGGCTCCTGCCCATGGGTCACGCGGCTAACGAAAGGCTGCGGCAGAAATTCAGTATGCATGTATCCCACCCACTTACTACACAGCTCAACTGGGCCTCATGAACAGGGCCCAATTTACAAAGGGTAAACTGAGTACTCAGATAAAGACCCATCTGGCCTCTGGTCTTCACTGTGGCAGATCTTGGCCTGTGGTGAACTCACCAAATTAAGGCCGACAGGAGAGTGCACTGTGGTGATCAGGGCCTGGAGTGGCTCCACAAGGGCCCACTACACAGCCGAACCCACACAAGTCAGTTAGCCCCAGTGACTCCTCTCAAGTGGACACCAAGGGCTGTTACCTGTCCAGCTACCTGCACGCCTCGTAGAAGCCTTCGCAAGGTGTACGGCTCCGGCCGCAGTGACCCTTGCGCTGGGCTACGGGGGGGATGAGGCTGCCCCCAGCTCCCCCGTGAGCTGTTTGTAGGGGGTCAATCTGCACCCTCAAGGGGAGCTCACACCTTCATCACCTCCAAGGGCTGCACAGGAGATAGGGACAGCGGCTTAGTGAGGGCAACCATCAGAGGGGATGGGGTGGGGAAGGCTCAGGGAGCCCAGAGGTGGTACCTGATATGGCGCTGGCGGATCAGCACACGGGCGTGGTGGATGGACTTGGCCAGGCCCAGCTTGAAGACCTGGGTCTGCAGGCGTCTCTCCAAGAAATCCTCAATCTTCAGGCCCAAGATGTAATCCAGCTTCATCTTGCCCTCGTCCAGCACCCCGATACGGACGAGTCGCCGCAGCAGGGCATTGCCTGGTAAGAGGGGAAAGAAGGCCTGCCTCAGCATTCTGGCCGACCTCAGACTTCTGGGTTCAAATCCTCCACCTCCAAATCATGGTGGTGGGACAAAGTAGGAAGTAAGAGCTAATTCTGATACAGAACTCAACATGCTATTACATGAGCCACTGTGACTAACGGAATCCTCACACTACCCTAAGGCAGGTGGCTACATACAACTCTGCTCACCTGAAAAAGGAAGAACCTTCCAGAGTTGTTGGGAAGAGTAAACGAGACAACCCCCTCGAAAGGCTTAGCATTCATCTGCAAAAGTCTAAGTGCTGCTGTTCCTAAACTATTCCTCCCATAACACAGCAGGGCGGCTGAGAGCTAATATTCTAGAGTCAAGAAAGCCCTACTAATCAAATGAGGTTAAACCACCTTCCGTATCTATAATATTGGAACAGTATCAGAACCAATCTTATAGGCCTGAAAAAGACTGGGCATACATTTAAGCTGAGTACATGTCATCCATTTTATCATTCTGAGATTTTCTACTAAAAAGATGGTGTGGACCTAACAATGCCTGGCATAAAGTAATCCAGCAGAGGTCAGCTTCTACCTTTTACACAACTCTACTTTCAGGAGGCCTCGCTACTTCTTGTCCATGGGCATCCAAAGCTCCACTCAGGACAGCTCTTGGGATGCTGTGGGCAAACCCCTTCCCCCAGGCTCACACTCACTGAGCTTATCACCACACAGGATTATCACTAACACACTGACACTGGGGGTAAAAGCACCATTACCACCCATCCCCTCCCTTGCCCCCAGGCAAAGCTTGAAGGAAAGATGGCTCACTGTGATGACAAAAGTCTTCCTAGCAGACCAGGAACCTAGCAGACCAGAATCTAAATGAAGAAACATACTATATGTACTATATACCTTTTCCAACACCCCAGGTCATAATATGCACTGAATAAATGCTGAACACAAAACAAGGATATTCTCCCGTTTACAACCGCATGAAAGATGAAAAGCCTACACAATGAAAAATATAAGGCACTGATGAAAAATATTTAAGACACAAATAAATGGAAAGATATAGTTAAAATGTCCATACTACCTAAAAGCAATATACAGATTCAATGCAATCCCTATCAAAATTCCAATGCCATTTTTCACAGAAAAAGAACAAAGAATCCTAAATTTTTATGGTACCACAAGACCCTGAATAGCTAAAGCCAATCTTAAGAACAAAGCTATATACATTACAAAGCTAGAGTAATCAAAACAGTATGATATTGGCATAAAAAACACATCAAGGGAACAGAATAAAGATCCCAGAAATAAACCCACACAAATTAATGGTCAATTTACAACAAAGGAGCCAGGAATATATAACGGGGAAAGAAAAGTCTCGGCAATAAATGGTGTCGGGAAAACTGGACAGTCACATGCAAGAATGAAACTGGACCCCTACCTTATCCTGTACACAAAAATTAACTCAAAATCGGGAATTCCCAGGCAGTCCAGTGGTTAGGACTGGGTGCTTTCACTGGCGTGGCCCAGGTTCCTCAATCCCTGGTCAGGGAACTAAGATCCCACAAGCTGTGTGGTGGTGGTGCGGGGGGAAGAAACTCAAAATGGATTAAAGACTTGAATGTAAGACCTGAAACCATGAAACTCCTAGAAGAAAACATAGGCAGTAAGGTCCTTGACATATCTTGGAGATGATTTTTTTGGATTTGACCCTAAAGCAAAGGCTACAAAAGCAAAAATCAGGGCTTCCCTGGTGGCGCAGTGGTTGAGAGTCTGCCTGCCGATGCAGGGGACGTGGGTTCGTGCCCCGGTCCGGGAGGATCCCACATGCCACGGAGCGGCTGGGCCCGTGAGCCATGGCCGCTGAGCCTGCGCGTCCGGAGCCTGTGCTCCGCAACGGGAGAGACCACAGCAGTGGGAGGCCCGCGTACCAAAAAAAAAACAAAAACAAAAATCAACAAGTGGGACCACACCAAAAAAGCTTCTGCACAGCAAAAGAAATTAACGAAATGAAAAGGCAACATACAGAATGGGAGAAAATATTTGCAAATCATGTATCTAATAAGGGGTTAATACCCAAAATATGTAATGAACTCATACAACTTAAGAGCAGAAATGGACTTCCCTGGTGGCGCAGTGGTTAAGAATCCGCCTGCCAATGCAGGGAACACAGGTTCGAGCCGTGGTCCAGGAAGATCCCACACGCCGCAACTAATCTGAGCAACTAAGCCCGTGTGCCACAACTACTGAGCCTGCACTCTAGAGCCCGCGGGCCACAACTACTGAAGCCCAAGGGTCTAGAGCCCATGCTCCGCAACGAGAGGCCACCGCGATGAGAAGTTTGCGCCCCGCAATGAAGAGTAGCCTCCGCTCCCTGCAACTAGAGAAAGCCCACGAGCAGCAATGAAGACCCAACGCAGCCAAAACTAAATAAATATATAAAAAATTATTTTAGGGCTTCCCTGGTGGCGCAGTGGTTGAGAGTCCGCCTGCCGATGCAGGGGACACGGGTTCGTGCCCCGGTCTGGGAAGATCCCACATGCCGCGGAGCGGCTGGGCCCGTGAGCCATGGCCGCTGAGCCTGCGCGTCCGGAGCCTGTGCTCTGCAACGGGAGAGGCCACTGTCGTGGCCTCTCCC